ATATTTTATACGTTTTATCTTTCATATTTTTTACTTTCTGTACAGTAATTATAAGCAACACATAATATCTTTTAAATAGCCGCTTTGATAGCGACAGTTTATTATTTTTTTTATTTATTAAGTTTTTTGACTTACTTTAAAGAAAAGTATCATTTTTATTAGAAAAGAACTATTTAAGTTTAAAAGATATGACATTTAACGCTGAAGCGTTTACACTATATGCGACCTTTTAAATCCCTTTTTTTAAATACATATATATTTATAAAGTTTAGAAAATCGGAATATAAGTTTTCACTTTGAGATTTTCACAAGAGATATTTTGGTATACACTAAGTAAATTTAGGGCCATTCATTTTGACAAAAACGGCATTGTTCAAGAACTTCATTTTTAACCCTTGTATGATAGCAATCAGTATATTGATTTATTCAAAAGCCCAGAAACATACTCTATGAAAGAATTTTATAGTAATGAGGGTGAAAAGATAACTTAATTTACTGAAATGTTTCCACAATTTGTTTGCAGAGTGTGACCACGGAAGGTATGGCTTGAAATGCAATAAAACCTGTGGGAATTGTATTGATGAGAGAGACTGTCATCATATCAACGGTAGCTGTATAGGAGGGTGCTCCCCTGGATATACAGATTCCCTCTGTAACACTGGTAAGTATGTGGAAACACCATGCAACAAGTGAGATTTTGGAAGACGCGATTACTTAAACTATATGAACTATTATTGACTATTTTTGATTATACATGTGGTTCAACTGCAGGAAAGATAAGGATGCTATCTAATATTGTTTTCTAATAAACTATACATGTACAAGGGCCGTTCAAAAATTACGCGGACTAGTTACACGGAAAAAATATTTGACGATATAATCGGGCAAAATGTCAAACATAATATAAAAGAATCTTTACTTATATGATCTTCAAAATTTCATATCAAAATGTTGTAAATTAGTATTAATTTTGAGTAATTTTTCTGGACATATCATTAAGTAACGGAGCAGCAAAATCTTCGACGTCACAGGCATTACAAAAAATATGTGATTTTGCTTTCATTTTCTCAACATTTTCCAAAGAGTACCTGTACAGTTTGAGTTACCTTATCTACTCAACATCCAAACACCATTTCTTGTCAAGCTTAAAATGTATTAAACAAGTAAAGAATATTCTTTTTTTGTTTTAAATCCAAAAACTGCAGGTATTAATGAGATATAGTGTGATATTGGTGACTCTCAATAACGTTCTTTACAGTCCGATAAAGTTTTCGTCAATAATCTTCTTCCAGTACTCCCGTATAGCCTTTTTAGAGAGGGCTAATGGTCTAAAATTTAAGGTCGAATGTCACGAATACTCTAGTTTACTACATGTTCTATTATGCATATTTTGGATCTATGTTGGCGATATCTCGAGCATTACACATAATTTAACAAAAGTGTTGTGCGCCGTCAATTCAGGAGACGTCATTTTTCACAGTCGTCTTCACGGTAATCGCATCAGAGAAAAATCATTGTATTTCTGTTAGTACTTCAAATATCACGTTAGAAATCTAAATACATAATAAAAGAACAATTTAAAGATACATTTGAGAAAATTGTCGAAAAATATGGCGAAGTATAGAAAATTAATGAGTTAAATTTTTGATTCCGCATGCTTTTGCTTCAAATTTTTTGTCGTGCGCCGTACCTCTCCATCAGCGATATCAACATATCGATAATTTTAGAAGAATTTTTTTTTAAATGCAGAAATTTTGCCCAAAATTTGAAATTTCATAACTATATGTCGTTTGTAAGAGTAGATAATAGCATAGTCCGCGTAATTTTTGAACGGCCCTCGTAATTAAAATTTTTAGAGCGGTAAAAGACACATGTTAACATTATTCAGGTTACTTACGCCATTATCTATTATACTGTTCGTTAACTCAATATATATTTTTTAAAAAAATATTTCCTTGTTAAAGTGTAAGCCACATTTTTGTAACAAGAACTTTATTTTCACGTAATTACGAGATCCTTCTGACTGCTGCCGAAACTTTATCACAAATATTTGTATTATGAAGTGCTATTTACAGCAGATAACATAGCTCGCATATATTTTGATTAGTTTATGAATATTGAATAACTGACTCGCTGAAAAAGGTGTCGCGAAAATAAAGTGATCAACAAGTTTTTATAATGCTTATATCTTGTCTAACTTAGCTCCATGCAATCATCAAGTAAGCGTAAACTTTACATATCTTTTTAATTTGATCAGTAAAATGAAAAACTGCAGTATAGATGTGATTTTTTAAGTATTGAAAGGAAAATAGATTCTTTTGGGTGTAAAGATATTTGCCTTAATTTCAGCTTGTCTGTAATTCTACTACGATTATTGGCTACTTCAAAGAAAAGCCGCGGGCATTATTCTGAAATAAATCACGAACATCATCAAAAAATTATCAGATCAAAAACACGTATAAAACCTGTGCATTTGAAATGTACATTTGACTTAAGAATAAAATACTTATTTAAACCACATTGATGTGTCGTCTTGAATAATTCTTTAACCAAGAAAAACAAAGTTTTCCTTGTGTTTTCTTCAGTCGTGCTAAAGATATCGGTTACTGTTTCTTATCTTCCTTTTTATAGGTAATTTTTTGAGAAATGTCCTAATATATATTATTAGAATCATCTCTTTGCATCTATTGATAAGGATATACTAAAATTTTCTTTTTTAAAGTGGTTTTTGTCGAGTTGAGCCTAAATCACTTTGATTATTGATTTTGATCATGAATGCGCCATATGAGTTAAGTTCCTTGTTTATTTTGTAGTCTGTAGACCGTCGTTCTGGGGAGTCAATTGTAAAGAGCGGTGTAGTACAGAATGTGTCAGCCAGAATTGTCATCACGAGACAGGACATTGTATATCGTCCCTGCAGGTGAGGTAACAAAGGAAGGAAGTGGCTACATTAAATACTTTTTTAATATGTTATCGTACACTTCATGTTATGATAAACAATACAGAATAAAGTTGCAAATTCTCTACATATAAATTGCCAATTTTCTTTTTGTCCAATGTTTGCAGTCACAGTCTTGCGACACATATAAGATTGACTACACAATAACCATTACAAGTGTGACTGTCTCTGTACTAATTGTTCTGATGGGAAGTGCAATAAACTTTTACGTCTGGAGGAAAATGCAGCGTAAGTTTTTTTTTTATTTCCTTTAATTCCACCTATTTTGTCATTTATGTGTCTTTAAATATCTTTTAATTAATTTTATTTTATAGATATTACATGATCACATTATCAAAGTTTTCACTGATGAAAATCAAAGTTTGTATTATAATTAAGTTATTTCTATGATTTTACATTATTCGTATTAATATTAATAATTTGAGTTGAGAATGTGTTCGCTCTGATAAAGATCACTAAACGCTCAAAACCGCTAGTCTTTACAGTGGCTGTACAACTTACACGAACGATTACGTTACACGAATGATCCCGCACGATTAACTCACGATTAAACCTGTTACATGAACGATCCTTCACGCAAACGATTCTACACGTTACACGATCTTACACGATTGCTAACGCAAACGCACGATTCTTCACTCAAAATAGTTAAAAATATTTAGGAATCGATAGTTTCAAAACGAAATACGGCTATACTAATTTAAGATTTCAAAGAATTATCAATATTATTTTATAGACTTTGAAAAAAAACGGAAATGGGTATTTCTGTAACTAAATACATTTACATTTTTCCCGTCTTATGAGATGTATGTGGGCCGTATAATTTGATTGAATTGGATTTCATGTTATGCAGAAAGGGGGATATAATCAATTGAAGAAAAAAATGGCATCGCGGGATTTCTTGAATTATAAATAATTATTATATCTGTAATGTTTCCATATTCAATGTTTGTGAACTTCTAAAAATGAACTTGAATGTTTACTGAATTAGTTAACTTTTATTATTTGCAGATATTAAAAAATAAATAAAAAGTGAGCGCCAGAGATTAACACAGATAATCAAAACAAGAATGAAAATCAGATTTAAAAAAAAAGTATTTAAGAACTAACTACGGTTTATCACAATATTGATCGCGCTATCTTACGAGAACTTAATATTGTACGACGTATTATATTGCTTTTTTACGAGCAATAGTTAGTTCGTTCTGTATTCAATTATGTAAATTGCGATTCGTTCATTTTATTTCTATTAAAATAAATAAATTTAAAAGAAAACAAGAGAAATGCTTATTTTTACAAATAACATTCCGATAAAAATTTACAAAACGAAATTTACACGATTCTAAACGCACGATCTCTCACGATTAAAACCGCAAACGATTGAGTCTGATACACGCACGATCTCGTACGTTACACGAACGATCACGCACGATACACGAACGATTCTACACGATTGGTTTGTCAACAATACAGTTCCAGCCACTGTATAAGCTGTTCATCTTTTGCATGCGATACTCTCTTAGTAGAAATAAAATATCTTGGAAGATGTCAAGCAAACAAAAGATTTATTTGGACAAGTGTTCAAGAGGAAACTCCATGTTCTGAATTTGAAGAAGACCTTTCAGTCGATTTTTACACATGTAAAAAATGTAAATAGAGGAAAAGTACAACACTTTTCCCAAATAACACATTGAAATGAAACCCAGACTGAAATGTTTCCTCAAAATAGTTTCTATAGCCAATTAGAGTTTGGTAAAACATTGATAAATACGTCTAAAACTACAAAACCCGAGTTTTGATTTATTTTATACCGGTAATTTCTCTCATAAATCGCATATTTATTTCTCCTTTATTTGCTTTGGATTTCTTTATTACAAAAAAAATCCTTGGATAAGAAAAATTGTCTAATAAATTATTTTACTTTTCAGCAAAAAGTAATCTTTTTTTTTCACAAAAATTGATAGACTAAGACGGTTGCAAAAACTGTGAAGATTTGCTACATTTTATTTCATCTTTAAAAGAATGTAACTTTTCTATTACAAAAAAGGGACAGTTTTGGACACAAAGAATGACAAGGAGTATTACAACGAATTTTCAGCTGTGGATACAGGAGGTAATATCAAATTAAGACATGTAGAGGTCACTTTTAGAATAAAGACAAGATACTGTTAACGAAGTTAACGGCGGTTATTCCAATGGTGTTTCAATTCCATGTCTAAAACATTGAATTGAGTAAAAAATATTCAACCAATAATACCGTATTTGAAATCAACTTATCAAACGCTTAAGTAATGTTCAAAATTTCCATTACAATTATATTCTGGTTGATTTTTATATGTAAACCGTCTACAAATGCCACGAACTGTAGGGGAACATATTTTAGAACTACAATGTGTATGTAATTCTGTTGTTACCAAATGAAAATGTCAGAAGTATTTTATGTTTTAAAACAAGATCTCTTTGTGAAATACTATGCCCCCGATTGCTACACAATTCTGAAGTGGGATGTAAACTGAAGAGGTATATATATATACTTACCCTGAACAGCGCAATGGTTGTATTCTATGTTAAAGTTGACAAACAGACAGACGGGACAAAAGAATGCCCCCACGATCTTTTGATCCGGGAGCATAAAAGTATAAACTTTTTCGGAGAGGTAGTAATTTTTAATTTTTTTATTTGCAGATAAACAAAGTGGGCGAGATGTGTATGTATTGATTTGCTCCCTTATTTAATTATTTTTTACTTAAATAAATTCTTAGTTTAAGATTGACGTCTTTATGTAAAAATCATTTTCTAATCGAATAGGGTTACATCCCCGTATGCAGAACTTAGTGAACTCGACCACCAAAACACTTATGAAGAACTTCACCAATATGAAAAAGCAGACGGAAAAATGTAGATGTACGGATTGCTGATGTTAATATTTAATTGTAGAAATCATGTCCATCTCTAGATTTATATATTTACATAGACTTTTTCAGTTGTTTAATATCAATGCATATTCTTGTTTCTTATCGAGAGGACTTGCACAAGATAAGACACTTCTCTGGCTCATACAGTCGTTTTATATGTATATTAAATAATCAACGTTGTCGGCAGAATATCGAGCAGAAGATTGTATACATGTACTTTGACAACAGAAAAAAGGCTAAGCAAAGGAAGATAATATTTATACTTTCACTTTCGATGCATGTATTAATTAAATCCACGAACGCATGTTTATTTACCACTGTAAAGAAGTTTAAACAGAGACAGCCAAAACATGATATTACTATAAACTTAATATTTAATTTCCCCTCTTTAATCACGGAAAAAGATAATTGGCATTTGTTTTACTCCAAATCTTTCTATTTCTATCTCTATTTCGAAAAAAAAGTGAAGTACATGAGGAAAATATGTGTGATGTTTATGACGTCTATTCATTTTTTTTTTTACAAATACCGCATTTGGACCAAAAGTCCCATGACACGTCAAATTCATTTACCATTGCTTATATCGTAATATTCTTATGTATAAGGATAAGCCTACGGTAAATTTTGAAGTAAAAACTTCAGGATATGTACAGTGATGTGCCATTAGTGTTCGTCAAAAATTCAAACTGGCTGCCGTAGTAACGAGACGCTTCAGAAAATAAAAACACAGAAATAAAATTTTAAAATATTTTTTCTTACCTTAATCCTTAGTGATATAGCCTTTTGACCTTAGAACTTTCTGTATTCGTCTGGGGATCGACCTGTATAAGCCCTGAACATAATTAATCGGGATGTTTATCCAGATACGTCGAATGGCTGCCTCCAGCTGATTTTTACACAAGAATATACCGTTGCCGTTTTTCAGTTCTCTTTCCAGTCTCAACCAGATATTTTCAATAATGTTCAAATCAGGACTCTGAGCGGGCCAAACCATTGATTGCATATTATTCTGTAATTCATATTCTTGAACTATTGTAGAAAGATACAGCGTCGACAAAGTCTTGTGAAAATGTAAGGTGACGTAATGAAAACTGAATTTGGACGAACACTATGAGTTATGGCACATCACAGTACATGTGTTAAAAAGAATCAGGATTGTTATATTTTTCAAAATCATATTGTGTCTTATTCTATTTTATGTCAAACTTATTTGAACATTTTTAAAACATCTAAACTACAGACAAATACCTTCTATAGCACGATATGGAGGGAGAATGATTCCCTCCTAAATGCACTTAATAAACTTTTATTATCACAAGTATCACATTATTCTTCAAATTGTACACCGTCTAACCATATAACCAGCCAGAGATTTTTGATAATCACATTGAATTCCACCGTATTGTATTCATATAAAATGTGAGCAGATGGTACAGTGTATAAAGCACGTAAATGAAGTTAATATTTCTTTTTTTTTATACATTATAAAAAAAAATATGTTGTTTTATTATTACACACCTACTCATTATCATAGTATGCATATTTTTTTTTCTAGAAATTTTAATATAATTACATATTTGATGCTTGTTTGAATACTCATATTCTTGCATCATTAAAAATCAAGGATTCCATTATCTTTGCAAATATATATGTCAACTTTGAAATTTTGTTTTCGGTATGACATCTCTCGTTTTATATTATATGGGAGAATGCAACGAATTTGTTTTCCCATATTAACCTTAATATGGCTTAACCGCCCCTTGAAAAAAATATTTTGGTATCATATTGAAATGTCCATGATATAAAATCACGATTCGATCTTCTATAAAATTGTGTTACAAGGAAACTTTGTTACTTAAACTCAGTCGAATATATTGTGACCGGTTAATAAGAGTTCATAAGTAGTTCTGGCAGTGACTCTGGTTATGTAAATATGGAACATACATGTACATAGCCGAGGAATAGGAAATGTATGTGTAAATATGCTATACTTTAAATTCTCTTAAAAGAACATGAAAAATTTAATTTTTACAAAACTCAAAAATCGGAAACATTTTCCAAGTGATAATAATATAGAAAGAATCAACTTTTTACAAAGGATATAGAAAAGCAGTTCATAATTATTTGCATGTTACATGTAATAATTGTTTTTCTCCTTTCTTGCTTTATAAATAAGGAATGTAGACAGCTTTTGAGTATTATTTTTACCTTTATATTTCAGGCAAATATATATATCATTTTGTACTTATGAGAAAAAAAAGTTCTTATAATCCGAACTAGAGGTACTGTGAACAATGAGCTCACTAAATAATACTTCCTCCTTCCATATGATTATAATGGAAAAGTGAAATTTTTGCTGTTGCATAGGAGGTGCACAATGGCAATATGTAATAAAGATTTTGTGAAAGTTTCATGAAATTTTACTCAGTGGTATAAGAGGAGTTACGGATAAGAGATGAGTACCCCAAAACGTAACAGACGAACGTACAGCTAGACGTACAGACGGACGAACAGATATACTGATTACAGTATACCCTCCCACTTTTCAAGAGGGGGGTATAATAAAAATTGTACATTAAAAACTGTAGAAAGGTTATTAAAAACGACTGGTTGGCACAGGTTTTGTGAGTCTCTGCTTTGAGTGCAGAACAAAGAACAAACATAAAGATAAACACAAACAATAATGTAAATCTGTTCCAATGCTTTAGAACGAAGATGTTTAAAGTAAAGTTCTTAAGAATGTAGTTGTCATTGAATTTTATTTTTTTTTTAAGGAAAAAACAAATCTCAATTCAATCAACCCCGTTTTGCTTACAATTTTTTTTATTTAATAAAGAGTACGTTACCTGTATTAATTAACTTAGAATTGCGTTTAGTGTTTTGTTGAGGAAAATATTCTTCTTATATGTTACACGTGCGTGCATGTTTTTATTTTTGCTTACTTTTTATGAGAGCTTGTTACTTCTTTCAAATAAATATAAATTAATAAAATTACTTTTATATTCTCAAGTTTTCATTAAACAAATTACACACTTAATTTAAGTTAAATGCGTTTCGTTTTCTTTTGCTTGTTCTTGTTGCTAAAACCAATTAAGGAAAACAAAAACTTAAGTTTCTGAATTCTTTTTGCCAGGATAAATGACAAGAAGTGAAACAAAAGAATGTATAATATCATATAAATTACAATACAGTTTGGATAAGGCCAATGATGAAAAAGATACATGTATGTTACATTGCAACCAAGTACTTATCCAAGCGATTGTATACTAGTAGATAATGTTAGAATGGTTTGTACAGGAAGAAGGTAGCGTAGGAGTCAGAAGTCAGAAAGCATACTACATGTAAACGATTACTTGGCGCATGGAGCGCCACCAAAGTAAAGTGCATTTTATTTGAATTACATTGAAATAACAATTGCCAAAAAGGACGATTTGTGAAAAATATTTAATCGACTATGGTAACACTACGTGCATGTAATCAGTTTTACAATTAACTGTTTAATTTCAGAGTTTATAAAAACAAGTTATTATTAGTATAATCATGCATATATACAGAGTGGTGCATAAACATGAAAAAACATGTGGAATTAAATGACTATATATATACATCCATGGACTAAATACATTTCATATGAGCATTCTTATGCTCACCTAATGGAGAGAATTCATAAACAAATTTATGGTGAGGTTGAACATATGACAAGAATGCAGATTATAGAAGCAGGCAGATAACATGCAATTTGTATGAGAAGCAATATGCTGACCCTATGTATTGTAGCTCACATTAAATGCAAGCAGATTTTAACATACAAATAACATAAGCAGCCATACGCCCACATGTACTTTAATTAACTTCTATGCTTGCAATTTTAACATAGAATTTACATGAACAGCAATATGTTTACCTCATGTATCTTAGATCGCAGTCAATGCACGCATAAATTAAAATACATTTTTTTTCTCGTTTGAAGATTTCTAATTCTCATCACATACAATATTCTTCTTCAATTTTTATAGTGAATTTTATACCTTTTTTCAGTGCCAAAAGTTTAGGAAATGACACTTGGTAACATCATGACCATTTCTAACACCAGTGAAATATGCCAGTATAATGCTGATGGCCTTTTTTGTTTAACCTTTGGTGTATGGAATAATTCTAGGGAAAATATGATTTTCTTTTTGTTTAAAAAAATGTAGTGAATCCTTCTTGAATAATCTAAAGATCATTATAAGTCACGTGCACCGTGTTAACAATTTCCCAATACAACCCTTGCATAAATACGTGACTTCATTTGAAATTCCATCTCTTGTGTACAATAAATAAATAAAAAAAATATAAACGAGGGAAAAATTTCCTCAGCAGATGTTATCATAAAAAATCATTTTGTCTTATTGAGTGTCACTTGATTCGCACACTTTATTGTCCTGTCATCCTTTATTTGAATTTTTTTTAGCGGATCATAGGAAAAAAGAAAACCTAATACAAAAATACTCGGTTGAAAATTTACATTTTATTGAGATAAAATTTCCTTAGAATATAAACTTCACGGTGCTTTACCTTTATGCACACCTTTTAAAATAGGCTGGTGAAATATTACATACCATTCTCAAAATATTTGTGCAATGTTTATAACTGACTTCCCGGTTTAGATCAAACATAAATGTTGATTTTAGTTTTTTCATCGAAGTTTTTTTATTGTAAGGTAAGATTAAAATTTTATTTATATGTATTAGATTAAATCTATTTTGCAATATTATATCTTTTTACAATGTAACAAATTGCGAGCGCTTTATATTTAAACAAGTTTAAGTGCGCATATCGAAAGGCAGCTTCCTCTTGATAAATAAGATTATATAATTACATATATGTATGTAAATTATGTGAAGTGTATAAACTACAGAGCTCAATCAAATCTTAGCTACATGTTGAAATTTGCGCCAAATATTGTAAATGTTTAATGTACAGGTAGCTATAGTAAATGTACATTATCCCTTTTTGTCCCCCGCTTTTGCGAAAGTGAGGGGTTATAAATCTCATCCGTCTGTCAATCTCTAAATCGGTCATTCTGTATGTTATAGGTCTGTCCGTCCGTAACAAAAACTCTAAATTTGGTCATATCTTTTGAATGACGACTTTCATATCAAACAAGTATACATATATTCCTTGTGACAAGATCTTTCAATACACTATAATTTTCGACCTCCTGATCTTGACTTTGAAGTTAAACCTACTTTAAAAAAAATATTCTTGGTCATGTCGTTTGACAACTGATTTTTGACCATGTGCCCTTGACTCTGTAATTGACCTACTTGAACAAAACAATTGCCATTAAAGAAACTTTCTTTTAAAATGACTTACTTCTAGCAATTTCTGTGTGTATAGTCAAAGAAAGGAAGTATATGGAATTAAAGAAAGGTATTCAAGATCAAAAGTCCATAAATCAATACAAAAAAGGAGCAGAGCAAATACGGACCTCGAAAACGTCTAAGGTGGGATCAGATGCCATGTAGG